ACTAGTTTAGCTTGTTCCAGAGTAGATGAAATAGCTAAGTTTGTTAGGTCTAACTCTTAGTGTATTTTGCTCCGCTCAACGGTACGTCACAGCGGACAGAGCTGTGACGGAGCGTCCACACAGCAGCGTGCGTTGACGCTTGGAGGTGGGCGTATCTGAAGCTTGGGGATTTTTTGCGAGCAACACGACCAACAACCAATCACATGAATCTCCCGCCCCCGACATACAAAGCAATAGCAATGTTAAAACGAAGTAAACTGGATATAAAATCCCCAAACAGGCGAAAACCTACCAGTTTCACCCACTGTCTCTGCCTCCTCCCTCCATGCCTCGCTCCTCCGGTTTGTATCCCGGTAGATGAACAGAGACTGATCATACAGCACCGGGTGATTCACTACCGCTACAATGAATTTCCCCTCAATTTTTTTGAATATGAGGAAATGACCTGCGTAGTCTCTCCCAGCATACACGCGGTTTGATTGGCTATGCGATTGTACTGGCAGATTTGAATAAAACGGGATTTCATTGGCTGACGCCTCCGTCGAGGCGTCAAAAGTTGAACATTGCTCAACTTTTGACGCCAGCTACGCCAGCAACGCTCCACGTCGCTTCCCAAAATGCATTTCGGCTAAAAGTGACGTCACCCCATTCAAAGTGAATGGGCAGAAGCGTTGGAAGCTTCAACGCACGCCGCTGTGTGGACGGGCCGTGATTATGCAGAGCTGCGTGTTCTCCGTCAGCAGCAGCTGATCTGATCTCTGATCTCTCTCTCGCGTCCGGTTAGACTTCACTCGCGTTTATGTCCAAATCTATCTGATCTAGCTCGTTCTAGTTAATGATATGACTGCCCGCTTATCAGAGGACCTAAACAATAAGCGTTGCTTGGCGTATGGCCGCAAAGTATAGCATTATGCATTATGTTTATATTAGGGGTCAAAATCCCATGCTCATAAAATGCTCATATCTTTTTCTCTTCATTCCCCACACCCCAAAATAAATAAATATACTAATTTTAGGAAAAGTAAGGAAGTTTGAGCAGTGTGGGTTTTATATGAACAGAGTTACACATATTTCAAAACGCGAAGTGTAATAACTGCAGTTTGCCTCCCTGTCAGAATGACAAAGATCCTCAGTGAAGCACAAGCCCATGTTTCTCACTACATTGTAAGTACAACTTATTAAAAACATCAGTTCAATGCAACTAATGTCGTCTTAGTGTTATTGATGTTAAAATTGGTTTGCCATGAATTTAGTGATGGATTGTAAACATTTGAAATGTAGCATTTAAGTGTTTCTCAGTTACAAGGTTGTTGTTTTAATAAATCAGACACTGATGGTGCAGCGCTGGACTGTACCTCTTTAGGCATCTTTTCACTAACAATTTTTTTTGCGCTGATCAGGGGGTACTTGTCTGCATTTTTTTTTCAAAGGGGGTACATTATTGAAAAAAGTTTGAGAACCACTGCTCTAAAGTACCGCAGTCTCTTCTCCTAAGTCCTTTTGAATTCTCCTATCCACTATCCCTTAACGTTTCACTCAGAGGTCAAGGAATAGGAGATAGGGTTAGCATTTAGGAGCTGATTTTTGGATTATCGGAACGCAACCCAGGAGAAACCCCCTTGATGAGAAACTCTAAGAAATGATCGGGGAATCCCTCCGGAGTGGAGTCATGACGACAGGATCTGAATACTTTTTTTGTATTTGGTGATTTCTGTTCCAGCTGTCGAAATACAACTAATGTGTTGTGTTATATTAGCTGTTCAATTTACCACATAGGTGTTCTTAGTTTCATACCTCCTGTGTTTTACGAGCGACTTATCAAGTAGGCGGCGAACGGCATAAAACATGATTAAACATGATAGTATATAAAACCATGCTCGTACAATCTATAGAAATGCAAAACGGCGTCAGTTTAGACGTAATTCTGTCCTCCTGCTTACCGCATCATTTATGAGAAAACATTTCATAACATTAACACAACATATTCGAGGTGGTTTTAAATAACATTTCCGTATTTATTTATTTCTCCAAGTTATGTGTTTGTGTGCACTGAGGAGTCTCAAACAGGCGTTTGTTTAATCATTTTAAGATTGGCTTTAATCAATGTTTGAAAATGAATTCTTCATATATGATAAATGAGAGGTAACATTTTGTTTATGGTATTATTTCCACATATGTCTCTCCATTCTTCCTTCTGCCAACGGTGTCACAGTTTCTCGTCTCTCCCGTTGTTGTGCTTAGTGCGTACGCATGGGTTAGAGTTTGCGTGGAGGACTGCACGTTTTCCCGTCAAGTTAGTATTTTATAAATCGCAAACATTGCGTAGAAACTGGCGTACGCCATTTTCTGAGCATATATCGCTTTATAAATGAAGCCCCTGATGGGTTACATGTTAGCTTTGTGATCCTCTCCACAGCAGTCTGACTTTAAAAGACGTTTTAGGATCACTAACATGTACACAGTGACTCCCTAAAACAAGAGGGCTGACAGATGACCCCCCCCCCCCCAGTCCCTGTGGGGAGAGCTCTGTGTCCCACACTATTTTCACTGAGACTTCCTTCCCTACAATTTTCTGGGGTTCCGAGCCAGTTCATCTCCAGGCACCGCTGAGGGACCCTTAATTGTATGAATGATTGTAAAATAATAACCACCAGTGTGGTTGAAATTGAAGTGATATTTCAAACTACAGAATGTGTGGTACAGTTGATGGACCGGCCCTGCAGACAGCAGGCTGAGCACATCACTGTATTATATATCACTTATTCTACAGAGGTCAGTGTGTCCCCCATAGTCTGTATAGAAGAAGTGGGTGTAGCCACTGAAACCTCTGTAAACTAACTCACAGAGAGCTATGCAACCCAACAAGCTGTCTCATCTAATGACGATTGTTCAGTGTGGAGAAGGTTAAATAAGTAGAGTGATATTCTCACTCTAAGGGTGACTGACAATGGGTGCACTTCAAGCTGTGTTCATTTTGTCAATGAACACTAAATACAAACTACTAATATACGTTGCAAATCACCCTTTTTATCCACGAATATGACAAAACGATGATGAAAAGGAACCGATTAAAAACCTACTATGGTATTCAATAGTGTTGATGGGACAGACAGGAGTGGATTGCAGTTTGACTGAGCAGTGTTTGATGCTGCAGAGCTGAAGCAGAGGCCAACACAAAGCTCAGCGCAGGGATTACTATATCTTTATATTGCAGGTTGACTAATAGGCGAAAACTAAGAAGAACACAAGACAAAGATATATAGCTTACAAAAAGAACACTTCCTACAAGGTGTTGATGGATATGTATCTCTCAAAAAAAACAACAGCTGTGTTGGAAATACACTGAAAAACCTGAAACGTTGAATTAAATATAACATATTATGTTCAACTTCATATTATTGCTTCCAACTAACCGAACACAGTTATGTGGAATTTGTTGACATAATACGTTTAATTAAAGTCAACGTTTCAGTTTGTTCAGTGTAGATAGAAGAAGCCTTAAGACATAACAAAGAGAGGAGTCAGTTACCTGTGCTCTCTGTCAAGGATAACCTGGGTCAACTCTCCGAAAAGCAGCGGTTTATCATCCTCTCCTAGCCCAGATGTTTCTGTCTGCACCGTGAGAGTTGCAGCTGTTAGCTGACTCACACAGTGTGTATGTTATTAGAAATGAGCTTGTTATTGTCTGCTTGGATTGCCAAAAGACACTATAGTCCAAAGGTGAGTCCCAGGTGTGTGACTGCAGTTTGACCTGCTGCAGTCCTTGACAGCACGCACACCAAGGTCCACTTTTAAGCTGCTGCTGAACAAGCCAGACAGAACGCAACAGATATAGATATGAGCACACAAGGATTTAGGATATATATATATATATATCTTTACAGCAGAAAAAAAGACCTGTGAGCAGAGGACTTCTCGTGGATCCCCATCAGGAAGAAGATCAAACCAAACACTGCGCTGCACACACCCTCCCACAATGCCATGTGAGCTTCTACACCTGTCCTGTGTGTGTGTGTGTGTGTGTGTGTGTGTGTGTGTGTGTGTGTGTGTGTGTGTGTGTGTGTGTGTGTGTGTGTGTGTGTGTGTGTGTGTGTGTGTGTGTGTGTGTGTGTGTGTGTGTGTGTGTGTGTGTGTGTGTGTGTGTGTGTGTGTGTGTGTGTGTGTGTGTGTGTGTGTGTGTGTGTGTGTGTGAGAAGTCTAAAGTCCTGCTTTGTGTCATGCCTCTCACGCGTCCTGCGGTGAATACAAGCTGAAGTAGCAACATGCTAGCTGTCACATCCCAAACCCAGGTACATTCCTTGCTTTGTACCTGCATCAACCTCAACTCCTCCATCCCAAAATACATGACTGTGACCGGTGATGGGAGAAGATCTCAGATCCTGATGACATTGATTACTTGTTATGGTGCCAGATGTCTCTATCCATAATAGTACATCACAGTGTATTAGTTAGTTGTATAAATAATATAAACCTGCAAAAGTAACTAGTAACTGATGTTTTCAGATAAATGTAGTGAGTAAAAAGTACAATATTTGCAGCCAAAATGTAGTGGAGTAGAAGTATGAAGGAGCATAAAATGGATGTACCTCAAAATTGAACTTAGGTACAGTACTTGAGTAAATGTATTCAGTTACTTTCCACCACTGACTGTGACTGATATAGTGTGTGTCCATCTCCACTAAGCTAAACAGATGTGGTTAATACCTGTCCACATCTGTCTAGAAATCCTTCATTTAGTAAATGGTAAATGCAACGGTATGTAAAGAAAAAAGAAAAAAAAAGTGAATTTATGAAGGATGTTGAAATATAATTTTGTTAATTTAAAACACCTTTACACACACTAAAGTTCAATATGAGGTAAATCAAACTAAAGAACGGCTTTGGAGTTCAGGTTTGGTTTTGGCCAGTCTCAAATTTGACAACATTTATCATTATAGATATGCTGGGTTTGGGTCTCAGTTATATGCCTTGGAAGAAAACACACAAACACACACACGTACCTGCGGACGGTGAGCTGCAGAGTCTTGTAGGACCCTTTGACCAGAGCGATGGCCTCCTGTCTGAACCCGGTCAGCTCCACGTCGTTGATGATGACGATCTCATCCCCCGTCAGCAGAGGCTGGTCCAAACTGTCGGCTTTACCGCCCTCCTCTACCTGCACACACACAAACAAGTAAGGCCAGATTCGCTGAGGAAATGGAATAAGAGCTGCAGAGGTCAATGATTTTTCTGCCACAATTTGCATGTCTTTAGCTAATGATTTACAAAGCTCATAATGCATTGCAGTCCTGAGCTCCAAACACATTCTTTAAGTCTTTAAAAATTGCTTCCATGCACCATGTTTGTTCAAATTCCACCAGCATATCTAATCAGCATATTGAGATCTGATCACAACTAGGACCGAATCAAGATAATAAGAAGGATTTATCATGGGGATTTATCATGTGTGTATTTGTATTGTACACCTGTAATTTAGCAAACAATGCCGGATTTGCTCTGTACCTGAAGAAACGTTCAGAAAGCTCCAGTGGAATCAGCCCTACTATTGAAATGAAAATGTTACCTCGTGATGTAAGAGAAACAGCATGTGGTTCCTGTCATGGCTACAAGATGCTAAGAAACCTCTGACTATAGTTAAAAGTAAGCCCGAAACTAGTACAGATCGAGGTAAATACAGTTTGCATTATTTGCTTCTTCATTGACTCATTGACATACATCCTGTCTTTGCCTAAATCTAGATTTCTGAAAACAAAACTTTGCACCCCTCAGGTACCTCTATATGACCTCACAGATCAAAGGTCTGCGTTACCCTGAGGGAATCCGGCAGTACCGAACACCAAAGTGCCAGTATTTGTTTTGACAATCCTCAACTGTTTTCAGTGATCGACAGTGGTTTCTAGCTCTGCTCTGAAACAATTAACCCCGCCTATCTGGACTCTTTGAATGTTAAAACAACTGCCAATAATTTCTCACAGGGTGTGTCTGACCTGATGTGTTACCTTTCATTCAAAACATAGTGTGTTTTGGCCCACACACTGAAGTGTTTTTGCTCATGAACTGTATTCACTGAGTGACTTTAATCAACTATGTGTGATGGCCCTGAGGGGGAACTCACAACATTACACAAGACAACATGGCAGTTCATAACATGTATCACCCAATGTGAGAATGAGGTGAGGCCCAGGCCACTGAATGATACAGATGTGTTTTCAGAAGAATCTAAATAGTTCAGAAGTATGTCTGAGTACATGATGTGCTGTTTTTCGAGAAATGAAACATCCTCTCAGAGCTGTTCAAATGTAAACTGCTGCTCAGCTCTGAGGAGCAGTGCACATGCCTTCACTGTGTGCCTGATTCAGGAATAAATATACCCAAATAAGGCGTGCAGATCACTCAGTAACCCTGTGTGTGTGTCTGTGTGTGTTACGGACTTCGGTATTCCAGCTGAAATTCATTATCCTGCAGCCGAGATATCCAAACAGAGCTCATACCGTGACTATAACAACATACCTCCTCTAATCAATAAAGACTGTGTGATGGGAATAAATCCTCAGACAGAGCGGGGGGGGGTTCTGCTTAGAAAAGGTTCTGTTACTGAAAGGTTCTCAATAGTTTTAATTCAAGCCAACGCTTGAATAAAAAATTGAAGCAGTACACCCAGCCTTCATCACAGGGTGAGACTTTGGTGTGGATGCGAGTGGTGCAGTTCAACCAAAATGATTCCAATATTTTAAAGGGGGGGAAAGCTAAATATCTAAATGTTAAGCAAAGAATCAAAGTGGTTAGGACAAATGCCACACACTCAGGGACTTCTGCCTCTGGTCTGTTACTACACTATTAGTATATATTAAAGGCAAACAAGCAAATAATTGAAGCTACAGAGACCTGGATAAGGTGACCAACTGTAAGGACTTGGTCAATGTTAGGTTTGTGATTTAAAGCAGACTTTGTGATCCCCTTTTCTAAAGTTGGAAAACATGTTGTGGGTAAGATTATTAATCATCCCTAGCATGGGTGTATTGTGTGTGTGTATGTGTAGCACAAATGCCTGTGTGTGTATTTGTAAGTATAACAAAAAAGAAATGCATGTGTATAACAGAGTGGAAAACTTAAAAGGGATCTATCATGCAAAATGCACTTTTGTACGTCTTTTATACATGAATATGTGTCCCCGGTGTTCCAGGGAACTCACCAAGTGTCAGAAAACACAACCCTCTCTCTTTTCCTCCATACCCAAATCTCTAAAAAAGGGGCTGCAACGGATCTGATACAGACTGATCCAGATTTGAACACTGTCCTGATGTCAGGACGGTGGTGCTACGGCTATTGGTCAACTCTCCACCTATCAGGGGAATGAGAGGTTGGGCCACGGCCGGCCATTGCTGCTGGAAAGCGCTGGAGACGCTGTAGTACATATGCCAGGCCTGTAAGTGGCGCTGTAGTCTGCCACAAAAGCAGCGAAGAAGACTTCCCTTGCATGGTTGCCATGGTTGCCCTTCTGTTTATTCTCCGCTGTGGCTCTTTTTCTCCCTCCCTGAGGCAAGCGTTTGCACCTCCTGCTTTAAAACAAATGAATAATGACTCTATATAATCATATGTAAGGGATAATGTGCAGCGACGCGGTCATTATGGGGAAAAGAACATCGACAGGCTGATCAGGAGCCCGAAGTGGAGGGATCTAGATCGGCATGAAGGCACATTATGCAATGTGCACATTATCCCGCTTATTACATGGCCACATTCTCGACAAAGTAACGACATGACTCCCAATATTAATTGAAATGCTTTTATGGATTTAGAAAATGATTTTATTGATTTAAAAAATAGTTGTATTGATTTAAATTGACATGCATCCGCTAAGAAAAGTAGTCCGTTGTTACTGTTTGAACTAACGTAGCAACGGCAGGAACTGCTTCGATAGCGTTTTTGAGGAGCTTTTTGATTACAGATTTGAAAACATCGCTGCTTGCTTTAAAAGTAGCACAATTCATTATGTCAAACCTTGGAAAGTATTTAAAGCTCGGTTGGATGCTACTCAATCGGAAGCTCTAGGTACCTGTTTATGTGGATAATTATGTAAATTATGCTGTATGATGTCCTTTTGTTGTTCTATTTATGTTTTTATGTTTCATGTGGAACTACTTGAGCAGGTCTCCCTTGAAAAAGAGATCAATGATCTCAATGGGATTTATCCGTCTAAATAAAGGTTTGAAATGAAATCTAGATATCCCTGCCCTGATGCCAAAGTAACTGCACACTGAATATGTGTCGCCGTTTGATGTCTATGTCTGGACCGCTGCGTAAAAAGGAGGGTTTCTGCCCCGTTACTTCTCTTCTTACTTCTATAAGAATAAAACACGGTGGACGGAGATCTCTTTTTCTCCCCCTCTTCTCCCCGCTGCAGCCCAGCAGCTGATCTCAGAGCACGCTCCCCTCTCCTGCAGGGGGGCGTGGTCAGCTGCAGCTCACAGAATCAGCCCCCTGCAAAAACAGCGCTGGAAAGAGCAAATAGAGCGAAATGAGGCATGGCAAAAATGCAAGGTCTGTTTGGTATTTTGAAAAAAAAACTATATTTATATACTTTATATAGGTATGGCCCTACAATATATTGTTCAAATATAGCATGATAGGTGTCCTTTAAGTTTGCAATCCATCCATCCATCCATCTTCTCCCGCTTATCCGTGGTCGGGTCGCGGGGGTAGCAGTTCCAGCAGAGAGCCCCAAACTTTCTTTTCCCTGGCGACATCAACCAGCTCTGACTGGGGGATCCCAAGGCGCTCCCAGGCCAGCGAAGAGATATAATCCCTCCACCTGGTCCTAGGTCTACCCCTTGGTCTCTTCCCAGCTGGACGTGCCTGGAACACCTCCCTAGGGAGGCGCCCAGGTGGCATCCTAACTAGGTGCCCGAACCACCTCAACTGGCTCCTTTCGACGCGAAGGAGGAGCGGCTCAACTCCGAGTCCCTCCCTGATGACCGAACTTCTCACCTTATCCCTAAGGGAGACACCAGCCACCCTGCGGAGAAAACCCATCTCGGCCGCTTGTATCCGCGATCTCGTTCTTTCGGTCATGACCCATCCTTCATGACCATAGGTGAGGGTAGGAACGAAAATGGCCCGGTAGACAGAGAGCTTTGCCTTCTGGCTCAGCTCCCTTTTCGTCACAACGGTGCGGTAAAGCGACTGCAGTACCGCTCCCGCTGCTCCGATTCTCCGGCCCATCTCACGCTCCATTGTTCCCTCACTCGAGAACAAGACAAGCATAAGTTTGCAATGTAGTCGTTAAAAAGCCATCTTAATGTTATGTTATTACTAGGGCTGTCAAGTTAACGCGTTAATAACGCGATTAACGCGATTAACGCATGTGTATTTTTTGTCCTCGGCCGCCCCGTAGTTTCAGAGCGCATCGACTTTAAAATACCATCTACAAGCTGATGCTGATAGCCCAGCTCCTGCCGCCCGCTTGTGGCAGACCCGGCAGACCACACTTCCACGCTCACCGGAAGGCACCGACTGGCCATCGGGAGGACCGGGAGGGTGTGTGTATGTGTGGCCCGAGCGAGCGAGAGAGAGAGAGAGAGAACGGGCACACCTTACGTGTATTGTTGTTGTTAGCATCTGGTGCTAGGCTAGTTAGCTGCGCTAACGGATATAAGGAGCTGTTCAATGAAAACAGAGGAGCGACATTTCATCGAACAACTGCGCCGAACACTTGTATGGAGTCAGATTTGGGTCAATATTCTAGCGCGTAAAACAAGCTACTCACGAGCGGAAAATGTGCTTTTACACGCGCCTAAAATGACCCTCGCGCGCAGATTAAACCCCCGCGAGGAGAGAGAGCCCTCTTGCTCGCTCGCGGGAGTGTCAGCTTCACTCGCTCGCGGAGTCTGTCTACGCGAGCGTGAAAAGTTTCTGGCACTTTGGGGCGGAGCCAGGAAGCCCGGAGTTGCCAGGTTTGATAAATGCATGAACTACCAAGAGCCGAGGAGTGACAGCTGCAAGATCAGGTGGATGAGATTGAATTAATTTGATATAAAAAAATGACACATTAATTCTAGGAGTGCAATACTTTTACAAACACTATAGTAATAATATGCATTCATTATGACAACATCATACTATTACTATAGGAGTGTTCTATAGTGTGTTCAAAAAACAACTACGGAAACACTATATATTATACTATAGTAGTACTATTTAAAATAATAGTCTTAATACGGAAACACCAACAAAAACACTATAGTAATACTTTTACAAACACTATAGTAATAATATGCATTCACTATGACAATATCATGCTATTAGGAGTGTTCTATAGTGTGTTTAAAAAACAACTACAGAAACACTATATATTATACTATAGTTAACTTATACTATTTAAAATAATATAGGAATACTACAAAGATCTAGATACATAGTGTTACTATTGAAATATTATAGGGCTACTATAGATAATAAAATGGCACTACAGAAAAAACTATTGTAATACAATAGCTGGTGAAAAATACTACAGAACACTACAAACTTACTAAAGGACACTATACAACTCTTATAGTATACTATAGTAATACTATAATTCCTTTATAGTTCATTTCGTAAGGGAGGTGCATACAGCAGACAGTAGCTAGCAGTTTTCCACTCAAAAATATATTGTTTTATATATATATATATATATATATATATATTAGGGCTGCGTTAATAACGCGTTAACGCAAAAAAATGAACGCCACTAATTATTTTAACGCGATTAACGCATGTGTATTTTTTTTCCTCGACCGCCCCGTAGTTTCAGAGCGCATCGAGTTTAAAATACCATCTACAAGCTGATGCTGACAGCCCCGCTCCTACCGCCCGCTTGTGGCAGACCACACTTCCACGCTCACCGGCAGGCACCGACTGGGCATCTGGTGCTAGCTAGCAGCGCTAACGGATATAAGGAGCTGTTTCAATGAAAACAGAGGAGCGACATTTCGCCGACAACTGCGCCGAGCACTTGACTTTATGCAGGAAGCCAGACAGTGGGACATTGTACGAAAAGTCAGCACACTCAGCACGGATAGTGCGCAACATGATTGCAGCGTCCAGGCAGCTCCCGTTCGAGCATATGCCTTGAGTTGCACATAGCTCCAACGATCCATCACACACACAACGCACGCACGCACGCACGCACGCACGCACGCACGCACGCACGCACGCACGCACGCACGCACGCACGCACGCACGCACGCACGCACGCACGCACGCACGCACGCACGCACACACACACACACACACACACACACACTGTATTGTATGAGAGAGGTTCCAGGTTGAATTGAGGCGGATATTTGTAATGTTCAGAGGTTGTTGTGTTTAATATTCATGAGAATATTTGTCATTGTTCAAATGATAATAAACATTAGCATAAAGCATATTTGTCCACTCATATGTTGATAAGAGTATTAAAAACTTGTAAAATATTCCTCTAAGGTACATTTAGAACAGATAAAAAATGTGCGATTAATTTGCGATTAACTATTTTAATCGACTGACAGCCCTAGTTATTACTGGACCTGATGGCAGAATTTGAATTGTATTTTATTTGTAATTGTTATTTTCTCTATTCCACTTTTTAAGTATTTGTATTTTAATGTCTGAACACACTGCTGCTTTGTAACAAAATGATTTCCCAAATTGGGATCAATAAAGTATCTCTCTATCTATCCATCCATGTATCTATCTCTCTATCTATCCATCTATCTCTCTATCTATCTATCCATCCATCCATCCATCTTTCTCTCTATCTATCTATCTCTCTATCTATCTATTTATCAGAAGCGGAAATTAACGCAATGCAAATAAAGGTCTAATAATCCTTTGGTCCTGTCTGTTTTTCACCTCTTTTAAGGTAAACCAATCAAAATGAATGTAGGTGGAATGTATCACTCATCAGATTGTGTCCCTAAAAGTACGTTTGCCTCTCCTTGGTGCCTGAGCTGCTCTCCAGATAGTTCCACAGTTCCGTTGATTCATGAGCACAGCAACTCTAAGAGCTGCTGCTATAGATGGAATGCAAATGGAAATAAACGATACATATGAAATCTTCTTTAATGTCGCCACATTTTACACAGAGCTGCACACACAGTGAAAATCTTTAAACCCATCCTAGTATTAGGAGCAGTGGGCAGTTTCTATAAAGAACCCAGGCCACAGCGGTGAGAGCGCCTTCTGGACCACCAGACACTAAACTGAAGCTGTTGGGTCGCTCTGAAACAGGAAACTGAGCAGTGGAGACTCTGGGTTGCAGCTGAACTGTTTCCCCTCAATTTGGATGTGTAACCATTGCAGTGTTGGTGCTCATCCAGTGTGATGCCAGTCATGGGACCTTCAGATTAACACTCATTGAGACAGTTTAACCTGAGCGGAACCTTTTACTGTGACCTCTGAGCCGGGGCTCAGAACCAATGAAATGCACTGCACTGATGATAAACAAGCTAAGGTCGTGTGTGTGTGTGTGTGTGTGTGTGTGTGTGCGCATGTGTGTGTCATGGCTGGTGGGATCCCATCGGCCAACCTCACTCAATCAAATCAGTGTTTTATAGCTGAGTAGTTTTCATGGCAGGTGAAACATAAATAGAGTTTTAAGAACTAATAACATCATCTGAATGGTTACTCCGTGTGGGTGAGGGGGAGCCGAAAGCAACAAACAAAGGTCTAACAGCTGAGACACACACAGCACACACAGCTGTGTGACCGCTCAACAGTGATGGAGATGCCCACTGATCAGTTCTCTGTTGATTCAAAGAGGAGGAAGAAGAGATTCAGAGTGGAGGTAGCACTAACGCTAATTCTATTTAAAATCAATCAATCAACAATCAATGGTTTTATCAGATGTTATCTGAGATTCTATTCCAGTATCACAGAACCAAATGAAAGCATGAGTGTGTTCCAAAGCATGGAGGAAAACACATTTTTCACATTCTTGTCCTATTTTACAGCAGTTTGGCCTCCATCCCAGAATACCCTCTCCACACACACACACACACACACACACACACACACACACACACACACACACACACACACACACACACACACACACACACACACACACACACACACACACACACACACACACACACACACACACACACACACACACACACACACACACACACAACACACACACACACACACACACACACACACACACACACACACACACACACACACACACACACACCACACACACACACACACACACACCACACACACACACACACACACCACACACACACACACACACACACACACACACACACACACACACACTCACACACACACACACACACACACACACACACACACACACACACACACACACACACACACACCACACCACACACAGGAAATCTGGTGATTTCTGGTTTTAGTATACATCACGACAGGTCAGCAGTTATTCAAATATTATGGTACAGCAGACTCACTGTGGCAACATCTATCCAAGGCTACATTTTAAATCAAAATCACACTGCCATAATACTTCAGGCTACCCCTCACATTATTAATGATGATTCAACCACCTGAAATGGTGAAACAGGTATCCAGCTGGTTTTTGCCTGTACTCTTGTTATTGAGGGTAAATGAGAATGTTGACCCATAATTAAAATCAGGAAATCTCTTCCTCCTTTGCTTTTGATTATTTTAAATCTGCCTGTTGTACGACTTTAAGGAAGTGAAATATAAAAATGTTGGAGCAGGCCCTGCCCTTTAAATCACAGACTCAATATAGGTCACAAGGAGGACATGGAAAACACTTACAGAAAGGAATTACAAAAATAATAATAAACATGCACGCCTTTTGTTTAAAATTGTTATCCAATAGAGTAGGATTTTTTATTTATTTTAGTATTTTACTTTACCTCAAAAAGAATCATAACATTGTATACGCCTCCTATCGAAACAATCATTGGTCATAGATAAACACAAATAAATTATAGTTTGACTATATTTGTTAGTATATTAGGGCTATTAGTACACAACAGAGACACTGCATGGTCTCAGTAGCAGTGGTGTTAATAACTAAGCACATTTACTCAAGTATTGTACTAAAGTCCAATATTGAGGTACTTGTTGCTTACTTGAGTATTTCCATGTTATGCTACTTTTTACTTTTACTCCAAGTTTTTAATACCTTTAACTTCACAGATGTGGATGAATGATGTGAAATATAACCAACTCTTAAATCAGACTTTAGTTCCACCTGGAGTAAATCCACAAGCTACCCTGCAGTATACAAAGTCATTCAAACTAGCTGCACCTTTACCAGCTTTGAGAACACTTTCATGATCAATCATTATAAAACATATCATATTCTGAAATGGACCAATCTGCACAACGACTACTTTTACGCTTGGTACTTTAACGGTATTTAGATGGCAATATTTGTTTACTTTTACTTGAGAAACATTTTGAAAGCAGGACTTTTACTGTAACAGAGTATTCCTACACTCTGGTACCTCTACTTTTACTTAAGTACAAGATCTGAGTACTTTTCCCCCTGTAGAGATGACAGACACATGACAGTATGGAGTCCCACCTTGGAGATGATGAGCGGCTCTCCGTGCTCCAGGCCTCCCTGCAGGGTGAAGCCCCAGGGCGCTCCGCCCTGCAGCCGGGCCTCCAGCAGCACCCAGCCGCCCGCCTGCTGCCGGAGCCCCGCCCGGACTCCGTTCTCCATGCCGGCCAGGGAGCGCTGTCTCCCGGCTGTTGGCTCCTCAGCCCGTCGGCGGCCCGGCGGACTGAGGGGGGGACCGGACTGCGGAAAACCGGTTATCCTTCACGAGCGCATTTCCTTCATTCATTTAAAACTTCTCTATAAGAAAAAGAAGGAAGGAGGTGTCCGAGCACCGGGTCCTGCAAAGTGCATTCCTTAGAGAGAGGCTGGTTCTCCGGAAGATTCCAACAAAAACTACCGAGGCTGTGAGGAGCTGCAACAGGTTACTGAGAGGAGGAAGTCCGAAACACCGCTTTATTCCTCAAACTGAAAGAGACCAGAGCTGCTGTAACAGAAACAGGACTGCTCTCTCTCTCTCCGAATTTCAGTTTACCATAACAATAGGATTTACTGCGACTCACTGAGCCAGAAGAGAAAGAGAGAGAGAGAGAGAGAGAGAGAGAGAGAGAGAGAGAGAGAGAGAGAGAGAGAGAGAGAGAGAGAGAGATAGAGAGAGAGAGATGAGAGAGAGAGAGAGAGAGAGAGAGAGAGAGAGATAGAGAGAGAGGACAAGAGAAGTGAGGAAGCAAGGAAAGACAGGAAGGAAATAAATAATCAAAGAAGAAAGGGAGTTAGGAAAGAAGGAATGATTACATTAAAACAGAGGGATACAATAAAGGATACAGTTGAAGGAAGAAAGGTCATAGAATCAAGTGGGAGTGTATCAGGAGAGTTAATACAGCTTTTGCAGATCCCCCTGCTATTCAATATTTTCAGTTATGAGAACGATCCAAACATCAACCAAAATATTTTGATACAACCATCCATTTAAAAACATGACATGAGAGGAATGTGTATAACTGTTATGGCCTTCCTCTGCTGCAGGAGGAAGAGCGTGTTATTTCATGATGAAAGAGAAGAAGAGGACGCAGGACAGGAAGTGTGTTTCTGTGTGAGGAGCTGTAATCCAATCCTTCACAGCACAGCTCACACTGTTTCCATTCACACTGGAACCAGATTACAACTGCTGGATCCAATCATGTAACGCTTCACAACAAACTGAAACACAGAGCTGACATGTAGTGTTTGAGGTCAGATCGATGTGTGGTATTATCATTCAAATAAACTACATCATACCAAGGGCTGGCTGAATCTGAGTGCTTCCTTCTTTTCTTCCCAATAATTCTGTCTTTCGTTGTCTGTAAGTCATGCAAATAAATCATGTTATTATCAAAGAATAAATGATGAGCTAACAAAGCCCGTCGCTACCCCCAAACAGAGCTGAGGACTATTAAACCTATATTCAGAATCAGGTTTGCTGCCAGGTACGTTTACACATACATGGAATCTGCTTTGGTGTCAGGTGGTGCGAACATAAACTAAGAAAATAAGTTGTTGTTGTTGTCGGTCAAAAATATAAAGATAATAGAAAGAAGCATTTTTAGAAACTATTTAGCATTACAAAAGAATAAACACAAGTATTTACACCACATTTTAATTTAACTATACAAAGAACCTAAAAAGCTAAAACACTTAGGACAATGAATATGCGACAATATATGGCAAACTTCAGTGAATTCTATTTTAAAGTGGAGGGCTGTGCAGACGTGTGCAAAGAGAGAGAGTCATGTTGGCTCTAGATGAAAAGAGGATCACCAAAATATTACAATTCCTGCTAGGAAAGGTGAATCTGTTTACAACAGATGGCCATCCATAGAGCCACTTTGCTTTTGATGGCTGACAGGAGTTTGAAACATTAGGCTGTACACATTTTAAACATGTGTGCTCGCCTGGACAGTGATTGCATAAAGTGTGAGTTACCATTAAACAGGTTGATTATCCCCTATCCCTCCTATACGTACATCAGTGATGAAGCAGCAGGGACCACTGAGTCCCAGCTTGCTTCAAAACTCCAACAGACATGTGAGTGATGACACTTGATCTATTGTAAGGCAAAGCAAGGCAAGGCAAGTTTATTTATATAGCACTTTTCAACACAAGGCAATTCAAAGTGCTTTACAAAAAACGAAAGACATTAAGAAAATGGCATTTAAAATCAGTCATTAAAAAGAAAAGATAATAAAAGAAACATTAAAAGAAAAATTACATGGATAAAAGTTACAGTGCAGTTTAAGATGTGAATAGTTCAATTAAAAGCAGCGGCAAAAAGAAAAGTCTTTAAAAGTAGTCAGAGTTGCAGCGGACCTGCAGGTTTCTGGGAGTTTGTTCCAGATATTTGGAGCATAATAACTGAACGCTGCTTCTCCATGTTTAGTTCTGACTCTGGGGACAGAAAGCTGACCAGTCCCTGAAGACCTGAGAGATCTGGATGGTTCATAATTTAGCAGGAGATCAGAAATGTATTTTGGGCCTAAACCATTCAGTGCTTTATAAACCAGCAGCAGTATTTTGAAATCTATTCTTTGACACACAGGAAGCCAGTGTAAAGACTTCAGAACAGGAGTGATGTGATCCACTTTCTTAGTGTCAGTGAGGACTCGAGCAGCGGCGTTCTGAATCAGCTGCAGCTTTCTAATAGATTTTTTAGTGAGACCTGTGAAGACACCATTGCAGTAGTCGAGTCTACTGAAGATAAAAGCATGGACAAGTTTTTCCAAATCCTGCTGTGACATTAGTCTTTTAATCCTAGATATATTCTTTAGGTGATAGTAGGCTGATTTAGTAACTGTTTTAATGTGACTGTTGAAACTCAGGTCAGAGTCCATGACTACACCTAGATTTCTGGCTTTATCTGTTGTTTTGAACATTGCAGACTGAAGCTCAGCGCTAACTTTTATACGTTCTGACTTGGCTCCAAAAACCATTACCTCAGTTTTATCTTTGTTTAATTGGAGAAAGTTCTGACACATCCAGTCATTGATTTGTTCAATGCACTTACTCAGTGTTTGAATTGGAGCATAGTCTCCTGGTGAAATTGTTACGTACATTTGTGTGTCATCCGCATAGCTATGGTAACTTATTTTGTTGTTTTTCATTATCTGAGCCAGTGGTAGCATGTAGACGTTAAAGATAAGAGGCCCCAAGATGGAGCCTATATAAAGAAAGTTGTTTCTGTCCTTTAAGTAGGATTCAAACCAATTTAGAACTGTTTCCGAAAGTCCCACCCGGTTTTCCAGTTGGTCTAGTAATATGCTGTGGTCAACAGTGTCAAACGCAGCACTGAGATCTAATAATACGAACACTGAAGTTCTGCCACTGTCTGTGTTTAAGTGGATGTCATTGAAGACCTTTACAAGAGCAGTCTCAGTGTGAAAGCCTGACTGGAACACATCCAAACAGTTATTTAAATGCAAGAAATTACTCAACTGTTGAAAAACAACTTTTTCAATGATTTTACCTAGAAATTGGAGGTTTGATATGGGCCTGTAATTGTTCATTACTGAAGCATCTAGATTATTCTTTTTTAAGAGCGGTTTAATGACTGCAGTTTTCAGGGCCTGTGGAAAAATACCTGAGTGAAGAGATTTGTTTACTATATGAAGTAGATCTGAGGCCATGCAACGAAAAACATCTTTGAAAAATCCTGTTGGAATAATATCAAGGCAGCAGGAGGAGGATTTCAGAAGTTGAATAATGTCCTCTAGGTTTTTATCATTAATCTGATGGAATTGTGTCATGATGTCTGAATTGATGTTAAGTGGACACAGAGACAACACATTTGCTGTTCCTGATGCAGAGGCACTGACTGCTTGTCTGATTTTCTGAATGTTGTCAGTGAAGAAGGAGGCAAATTCATTGCACGCCCTGGTGGATAGAAATTCAGAGGCTACTGACCAGGCTTGGATTTTCGTCATTTTAGGGGCAAGGCCACTTGGCCTTTGGTGTCACACATTTTTTCAGGGTGGAAAGGCCACATGCCAGGGCACAAAGGCCATTGAGGGAAACATTTGGATTTGGAGCTTACAAATAAATAAACTTTCTGATGAACACACGAATGACATCACTTTTTTTATATCAATAATGTCAAACATTATATCATCATATAGGCCTATGCCTCCTTAGTATTACCGTATATAAAATGAAATACTTTACTTTGAATAATTAGTGTTTGGTATGTTTTCCATCTACTATTTCTCCCATTCACAAATCCAAAATCAAATCAAAAATTCTATTAATATGTAACAAATAGATTCCATTTCAGAGCAGAAGAAACAGCCTTCAAGGGTCAAACTCTGCACATACATCATTCGTGTGTGTGTATACCACAGACTGTCTGTGTCATGTCTGTCTTTAGGACATTGGTGTGAGATTGGATGGAGCAGCTACAACGTTAGTTTAGCCTGATCGATCCGATCTCCATTCAGAAAACACGCATTTTAAAAGGTTTTTCGCCTGCCGTCTTGTCTGCACACTTGTCAAAGCATGGTTTTTACTAACCGTTACCAGTATTTAGTTAATTCGGCATCATTTTGAAACGTGTATTACAATTAAATCACGGTAAAATAGGATAAGTTTGTCGTAGTTGGTTTCCACCACAGTATTTACATGGATATAAGCCCCGCCCCCTCTCCAGCACGCCCTGTGACAGGAGTAAACACAGCTGACAGCCGTGGTGAAACCGGGTGAAACTCCAGCGGTTAGAGCAATGTGAATATTTGCATCGCGTCCGTTGTGAACGCAGCATAATGCAGTTCAGAAACCACTGTTCTGACGCTTTTAAAGCAACTTCAAGATTTTAACAGTGTGAGGGGCCCAAAGGCCATGGTGGCCGTAGGACGTACAATTATTTGTGGGGCATAACGGCCAGACCGAGGGGCTACGACGGCCATGGCCGTCATGGCCTCCGTGAAAATCCCACCCTGCTACTGACACTGGAGGGTTAGTTAGTCTGTCGACGGTAGCAAACAAGGCATGTGCGTTGTTTTTGTTAATGATGTCAGAGAAGAAAGACTGTCGTGCGTTTTTCAATTCCAAATTATAAAGGCCAAGTCTCTCTTTATAGATTTCAAAGTGAACCTGGAGATTTGTTTTTCGCCACCTACGTTCAGCTTTTCGACATTCTCTTTTTTCTGTTCTCACGGTCATGGCCTTTCTCCATGGAGATATTTTCTTGCCAGACACTTCCTTTACCTTAGTTGGAGCAATGGCATCTATAACATTTTTAATTTTTGAATTAAAATGATCTACTAGCTCCTTTACTGAGATGTTAGCAGGGGCAAGTGTGGAAGAAAAATTCTGAGTAAACATTTCCCCAGTGTTTTCAGTTAAATATCGCTTTGTGGTTATCTCTTTTTGAACATTTTTGTGAACAGAAATAGAGCTCTCAAAGAAAACACAGGAATGATCAGAGAGTGCAACATCAGTCACCACAACCTTAGAGATATTCAGACCCTTTGAGATAATTAAGTCCAGAGTGTGCCCCTTATTGTGCGTGGGCTCCGTCACATGCTGAGTCAGTCCATAGCT